CAGAATCTTATGAGCACTGTGTAAGATCATAAATCGTGTGTTTTATTTATTAAATTTGCTCGAGTATTACTAGTAATTTCTTTTTACTTTGCTGTGAAACTAATGAATCATGCTAGTAAAATGTATTGGTGTTGCAATGATATCCTTCTTTAATCATTGCTGTCTGTGTTTGTCTACGTTTGTATATGTGTTAAACATTCAGCAATAGCTGATTTATGTCTTTGGATTGAAGCTTTACATTGATTGTATATCAGTAATATCAATAATACTATTTGTTTTTGCCAGATTACTTCATTCTAAGATCAATAAGGTTTTATACTAACATATATTTGTTGCATAGATATTATATCTGGCTGCAGGCAGCTCACTATGTGTCTAGGTGCATCATATATGTATTATATCATGAATGTATTGTTTGTTCGTTTGCTTTACATTATTGTATATATTTGTATATTAATGTTGTGTTCTGTAATGAATTGTTTCTGATACATCCTGAGTAACTATGTAATCTGTTGTATTATTTCTTCAATAGCCAACATAATTATCTGTTGTAAATTGTTAGTAACGTACGTTTGTATTATTTGTTATTAACAGTGTTATTGTGAATTGTTGTGATTGTGATGTTATGAATATTTATTAGTATTATAGCTATTGTTCTTTGCTTTTTCTTTTTGCAAAGCATAGTGTATTGTAACACAATCTACATATAAGTGATATATCAGATTATGTTTACTATAATAGTCTCCTAGCATACTTTAGTTAATCTAGTAGTATGTGCAATTGTAGTATTTGTTCAACGTTTTATTTGTTAATTGATTTGCTAGGTAAAGCATTTTATATATTGGTTTTATTTATTTTATTTGAATCATTGTATAGATATACTTATTAGTATCTATCCAATGTATTTCATAATGTTATAATGCTGTTCATGCTTGTATTAATTGCACAGTGAGGGCAAATTAATTGTTTGTACAAGAATCAATTTAATAGTTTTATTTGATTATATGTATGTGCTCCATACTTGTTTGTATAGTTATTATCTTTGTATTGTTTGATTGTAGTTGCAAATTATATTGCAATTATATTTGTATTATTGTATGGATATATTATTTATTGTTTTATGTACGTTCCAAAGTATTATTTTTGTTATTCATCACTTTTATCCATGAACTATAGTCCAGATTGATGAATTATTTTGTTATATGATGTGATAATTGTCTGTATTTTATTTATTTTTGTATTAAACGTTGTTAAGTTAATCAGATTATTATATTAATATTATTTGCCAAGTATGAGCATTCGTTTCATAGTGGAATTATTATTTATTTAACATTGAAGTTCAATTACACATTGTGTTGACTTCCATTATTTGTTCCAATCAACAATTACATAGCTACATATTATATATACCTACTGAATCAACAGACAATGATGCTAAGTAGAGTGAGCTGAGTCCACTATCCCCCCTCTTTGTGTGATCCCTCTAAGCCTCTCACATAACCCTCTCTCAACAGGTTATGAGCCTTGCACTCCCTACCTACACTTTATCTACACTCTACTATGTCTATGCTCTATGCAGTTCTATGCATCACATGCACACACACAGTATACTACAATGCAGAACTTGACTCACCTGTCTGAGTATCCCAAACACAAATTGATACACTGCAAACACACAATCTACCATACTACATACAACCCAGACATTATATGATTGTCATCTTAGTGATTATAATCATTGGCCCAGTAATAACATAATCTATGCAGGCAATGCTGAAACTACAATGAGTATCACTTACTACAACATTTAATCACTAAAATATTCTATAATATTACAGAGATCATGTTATTATAAATAACTGATCATACTACAGACAAACGTTAGAAGGATTGAGAAAGCAAACACTACTCATCTGCTATTAATATTATAATAGTACAAATGATAGACACTGTCAACAAACATGCATATGTTATAACATAAATCAAATAATAACATATATGACAATATCACAGCCAAACAATTAATGTAAGACATGTCTCAGATATGTCAGACATGTCAGATATGAGATAAAACAAGTTAGCAGATATCCATCTGATATCTAAGACATCTGATATCTATGCACTAATACAGTTTATGAAAGCATACAACTATCTACAGACAAATTAACAATAATAATAATAATAATAAAGTTACAAAGTACATTACAGTAACTATGGTACAGGAATGAGTACACAATTATAGTCTTTAAACAAATAACAATACTTTACACCTATGATAGTGTAAACATATAATAACAATGTATAATAATGGCAAATGGTAGAATAATACCTCTACCATTACTACAACAATGTAACAGAACATATTTAATCACACAGAATGTAGATATACTTTAACAAAGTATAAATAAACTTATATTGAAGCTACAAAGCTTATATACAAGTGAAGTACTATGCTAATATGGCTAGTACAACAAACAACAGAAAAACTATGACAGACACACTTATTATAATGATTACAAACGAAAACAATCATAATATAATAAGATTAAATAAATTAATAAAATGTTTAACACATTATCTCAGACAGTATAATATATAAAGAAAAGCAGACACAAGCATATCTATTACATCTTATCAGAGATATGAATAGATGCACAACTGATGTTGTAACTGCAAACACACAGAAGATTTCTTAGCACGTTTGAAATATTACAGACATATTACAAACATCACATTAAAATTTATAAAACAAACAGCACAATGTTACAGTGTAATGTTTAAACAAAATGATGTATGTCAAACATTACAAGTTAACTTAAAACATACTGTTATATTATAACACATACTGACAAATGCACGAAAGTAAAATAATGAAGTACTAACACTACTTGTTGGATTACAAATACATGAAAGAAAATCAACAATGTACTTATGTACTTACACTACTTGTCAATTACTCAAAGAATAACCTTCTCAAATTGAAGGGGAGTAATTGAATAATATACACACTAATAATGAACATTGAATTCTTAATGCAGACATATTGACTACATCACTAAGTGAAATCTGTGATGAATCTGACAAATCTGTTGAACATGAAATACCTTATTAAAGAATATAAAAGTTATACATCACATAACATTTTCAATGCTTATAAAAGTTATTCAAACAGATAATTAATAAATTAATAATAATAAAGCTTAGAAATGGCACATATTCCCAAAGTGTTCTTTACAGCAAATGTGCAAACGTTCACAATGCAAAACTGCAGATGAACAAATGAATATTCATGACACAGAAACATTGATCTTATTACTGATTCTAAAAAACAATAAGTAATAGAAGTTACAGACAGATATAACAGATCACAAAGAGGGGGGATAGTAGACTCAGCTTGCTCTACTTAGCATCATTGTCTGTTGATTCAGTAGGTATATATAATATGTAGCTATGTCTCAGGTATGTCTGTTGCTTATATGTGTCATTCCATATATGTTAACAGAATGATAGCTCTAAACCTTACACTTTACACACCTGACCCTTTGCCTGTATACACAAAGGGTACTCTAAGTCATACACAACAAGGAAAGCCTACTTCTCACACATGTTGAAGGAGTACAGAGAATTTGCACAGGTGCCCAAACACTTTGTGTAATTGATTAATACTTGTATTAACTGTAGCCATATTCTTACAAACAAGACTACTTACAAATACTATACAAACAATGTTAAAACATACAGGCTGTATATAGAGCAATGGCTGACCACATTAAGCAGTTTCTTTATTTACTGCTGTTTTCATAATTTCTTAGAATGGCAAGTCACACGTCTTTTAGTGACTCTAAGTCACAAAAAATAAAGAAAACACTGTATCTTACTCAAATCTCAACAGAATCACCTCAGATAAGTTTCTAAATTCATGTTTCTGTTGCCATTGTATAATTATTTGGTAATAAATTTGGTATAATGCACTGTCCCTCCAATACAATTGCAAATACTTATTTTAAGTATAGTTTTCTTATATAATTTTTCCTGGTCCCAAATTTGTTACTACAAGTCTATAAAATGGTCCATTCTGTCAGTATAAACTTATTTTGAATTTATAAAATGGTTATAAGATTATATTCTTACTAAATATACCTTTTTCAAAAATAATTAAAATATGTAAAAAATACAATGTTTTCTACATCTTTTATCAACCTACAGAAGCTTATTCCAAGCTAAACATGTATTTCTAAATTCATAATATGTGATATATAGTATTCTGAAACAGATTATGTGACTATATACTCAGGAATAGGACCAGGAGAAAATATATAAGAAAACTCTAGATAAAATAAGTATTTACAGTTTTATCAGAGTAAAAATTCATTGTATCAAAATATTTCTCTAATTATTATATAAATGCAACATAAATATGAGTTTAGCAACTTATTTCAAGCAAATCTGTTAAGATTTGAGTGAGATACAGTATTTTCTCTATTTTTTGTAACTTAGAGTCATTAAAAGATGTGTGACTTGCTATTCTAAGAAATTATGAAAACAGTAGTAAATACTTAGTTTTTTATATTTTCCTTCTTTATATGAGTCACAGCTACATTCTGATCTACCCCTTCACTTTCCTTGGGTAGTGTGGCAACACAGGTCTTTCTTTACTTTCATACCTGTTAGTAACCCTTTAGGCCCTGCTCGGTTGCACTGGTCGCGCGACCAGTGCCTGCCAAATTCTCAACCACTGGTTGCGTGACCAGTGGTTGCAAACCATCAACCATCAGACGTGTTCGGGAGCACGTCTGGTTTGGTGATAGCGTGACACTGCTTGGCTCTTACCACTCCTACCCTGTGCACTATGCTCTCCAGCTTTCCTCGTTGCTGCTCCTCTTTCTTTTTTTCTTTTTTTTTGTAGTATACTGCTCTACCTGTATTCTGCTTTACTTTTGCCAATCCAAGCTTCGGATTCCAACCAGTAATCTTGAAATCTGTCAAATCTGCCTGCATATATGCCCCCTACAAGAAATTCACGTGCTAATAAGGAGAACGAACCAATTACTCGCCCTACTGTTCGTCAGAAGGCAAAATGGACTCTTATGGACGATACAAAGCTGGTTGAATGTCTTGAATACCAGAAGAGTATAGGCAACCAGTCTGATAGTGGTTTCAAATCAATCACTTGGACGTATGCTGCTTCTGAGCTTAACAAAGTTGTTGTTGAGGGTGGGGAGAAGTCGGCTAGTGGTGTTAAGGATCATTGGCAGCAAGTAGTATGTATTCACTCAGTAAACATAACCTAAAAGCTTCCCTCCTAATGTCTCTTATCTTTAGTTGAAGTCAGGATATGTTGCAATTGATTGGCTTCTTCACAAAGCCTCTGGTTTTGGGTGGGATTCTACTCGTCATCTTGTTACTGCAGATGATGATGTATGGACCCGACTTATAGAGGTATGCCTTCGTTTTTGTATGTATTATGTATTTTACATATTAATACTGGATGCATGCAGGCTCATCCAAAGTATGGAATATGGCGGACACGGCCATTTCCACTCTTCAATTCTATT